ATTTTGACATCAGACATAGAGATTGAGAGCTTGGTGTTTGCCCTGCTGGTTTTTGGTCTTGCTTTGGTCCAATATTTCCTTACCATGCTCCCTTTCCTCCATTTTGAAATAGTAATGTATATTCTATGCCATTGTATGTTGGAAGTATGTGTTTTGCTATTGGATTTTGATTTCATGAGGGGGGTTACACTTAAGAGATTAGTATGAGTCTCATAGAAGACTTTGAATTTTGAAACAGTGTTGAGACTGTTATAGACTATGGGGACTTTTTTTGAAATTATGATACAGTTATAAGCCTATGGGGAGTAGGGGGTAGAATGTGTTGATTTGAATGAGATTGTCCCCCATAGGCTCATGTATTTGAATGCTTAGTCATCAGAGTGGCACCACTTAGAGGGATTACAAGGTGTTGGCTTGTTGGAGTAGATATGGCCTTGTTTGCGGGGGTGGGGTGCTGTGGGATGTTCTGTATGTCCTGTGGGAGCCCGTTCTTGGGTTCCTCATGGCTTTACCCAGCAGGTCCATATAGAGGATAATTAGGACCATGGCCTGAGTGCAGGTGTCTGAGATGGTCTGCACTTGGCTGTGCTGGGGGATGGTCTGTATGTCAAGTTGCTCTGATTGGTCAATAAATAAAACCTGATTGGCCATGGCTAGGCAGGAAGTATAGGCGGGACTAACAGAGAGGAGAAATAAAAGAACAGGAAGGTAGAAGGAGTCACTGTCAGCTGCCACCCTGACAAGCAGCATGAAAAGATGCTGGTAAGCCATGAGCCGTGTGGCAGGGTATAGATTTGTGGGAATGGATTAATTTAAGCTATAAGAACAGTTAGCAAGAAGCCTGCCATGGCCATATAGTTTATAAGCAATATAAGTCTCTGTGTTTACTTGGTTGGGTCTGAGTGGCTGTGGGACTGGCCAGTGATAAAGATTTGTCCTGACTGTGGGCAAGGCAGGAAAACTCTAGCTACAGTGGGGTGTTACTGGACCTGGGTATTCAGGTTTCAAAGCCATTGGCTGTTTCTCTTCTAGTTGCCTATGGATCCATATATAGAGTTCTCAGCTACTTCTCCAGTACCATGTCTGCCTGTGTGTTGCCATGTCCATTGCCTTAATGAGAACAGACTAAACCTCTGAAACTGTAAGCAAGCCCCAATTAAATGTTTTCCTTTATATAAGTTGCCATAGTCATGGCGTCTTTTCACAGCAATAGAACACTAAGTAAGACAACTTTTTATCTCCTTGAGCACTGGACTTAACTCTGTTATATTTCCTATTGTTCCTTTCCTCTGCAATCTCTACACTTTGTATTTCTCTTTGTCTAGCTTGCCTCTTTTCATCCTTTATAAATCTGCATAAGAGTGACCACTAAAAACCACATGACATAGTCAATATGAGGCTACTTTGAAATATCCTCAGCAAAGCAATTAATACAAAGCTCTTCAATTTAGCCTCAAGCAGATTTTTAGGACAAGGGAATAAAGCAGCCACATTCTTTGCCAGAGTAACACGAGAATGATAACTCGGTCATTTACTAATATTCTTCCCCTCTAAAACCTCTTGGGCTAGGCCATCATAATGTACATTGCTCTCAGTGCCACTGCCACAGTCTTACTAGTATGGCCCCTTAATCCCTGCTTAAAACACTCAGCTATTTCCATAATCCAAAGTTCCAAAGTCCACATTCAGGCTTGTCACAGCAGTCTCCACTCCTGCTTTGTCTTAGTCAGCATCCTAGTGCTGTAAAGAAAGAACAAGATCAAAGTGACTCTTATAAAGGAAAGCATTTAACGGGGGCTGGTTTACAGTTCTGAGGTTTAGTTTATTATTTTCATAGTGGGAAGTATGGTGTCATGCTGGCAGACATGGTGCTGGAGAAGCATCTGAACGTTATACATCTGGATTGGCAGGCAGTGAGAAGAGAGAGAAATGTGGCCTGTCTAGAGAACTTGAAACCCCAAAGCCCATACCCTAGTGACATACTTCCTCCAACAAGGCTACACATCCTAATCCCTGTCAAGGAGTCCAGCTCTCTAATGACAAAGCATTCAAGTATGTGAGCCTATGGGTTCACTCCTATTTCAAGCCAGCACACCATCCTACAACAAGTAGATGACTATGAAGGAAAACTTTTTAGAAACACGAAGCTTTTGAAATTACTTTGGCCCCTTCTAATGAACTTTTTTTTTTTTTTTTGTAAACAAGACGTTTAATTGGAGGATGTCCAGCAACTATACATGACCTTGAGCCACCACAATTCAGTGAAATTCAAAACATTAAGTTACAGGCTGTAGGAAGAGGAGGCGGCAGTCAGTGGCCGCTTCCGACCCTGGTGGTTCCGTGAGTGAGGACGGGGGAAGGTTAGACCAAGCCCCTCCTCTCAATGTACAAATTACTTTGATTGATATTAAATTGTATTGAAAACAAAATAGACTAAAAAGCCAACACTGCTCTATGTTGGGGTGGAAGTGGAGAAAGAATGAGTCCTTGAAGCAGAAGGAGCAGCCAGGGAAGGCTGTGGCTGTGGCCCTGCTGGTCACTCTCGCTGTTCCATCTTTACTTTTGGTGGCCGAAGGAAGGTCCTGTTCTTTTTCTCCTTCTTCCCCTTTGTATTTGCCTGGAAATTTCGCCAACTGTCCACTCGGCCATTCCGGCTTTCCTCCAAGTTTTTCTGCCACTCCCTTTCTCACTTGGCTTTTTCCAGTGCTTCGATCTCCTCTTCTCTTTGTCGTTTCCTTTCATTCTTTTCTTTGGCTTCTCTCTCTTTCCTTCTAATTTCCAGCTCAGCAAACAGTTTCATGGTCTGTTTGTAAGCACAGGGACAAATAGCCAAATGAATGGAAACACATGAACTATGAACCAATGGCTGAGGGGCCCCCAACTGCATCAGGCCCTCTGAATAGGTGAGGCAGTTGATTGGCTTGATCTGTTTGGGAGGCATCCAGGCAGTGGGACCCGGTCCTGTGCTCATTGCATGAGTTGGCTGTTTGAGACCTGGGGCTTATGCAGGGACACTTGGCTCGGCCTGGAAGGAGGGGACTGGACCTGCCTGGACTGAGTCTACCAGGTTGATCTCAGTCCTCAGGGGAGGCTTTGCCCTGGAGGAGGTGGGAATGGGGGGTTCGCTGGGAGGAAGGGGAGGGGGGCGGGAGGGGGGAGAACAAGGGAATCCGTGGCTGATATGTAGAACTAAATTGTATTGTAAAATTAAAAAAAAAAAAACAAAAAACAAAAAACAGCTAAAGAAGGAAGGAAAACCTACAAATGTAGAGGAGGGTGATCCCGAACTGTTCAAACAGGCAGTCTAATGAACTTTTAAACTTTCTTGATGATTTCTATATTTTCTTTCCTTCCCTTTGGAAGTATATACTGTTTAAAGTCTACAGCCTTACATAGAGTAGGTAACTTTACAGGATCTGTTCATCAAACCACAAAATGGCTGCCTCTACCACTTTTATTGTCCCGTGGTATGCGTACTATGTTCCAACAATACATTCACCTCAGTGTATTCTCCACTGGGAAAGGCAAATCCTATGTCCCCTCCAGGGGAGAGTGGTAATTTCCCCATCACTAAAAAGGCCCAGTTTTTTAACTTCACCATTATATTTCCATATCCATCTCGTGCTGCCCATTGTTCTTAAAAAAAAAAAAAATCCTCTCCAGGATCGACTGAAGCCTAGGTATTTTAAACATTAGTAGATTATTAATAATAAGGATTCTCATCATGTCACTTGAAACTATCTTGTGCCTATTGCAAGCCTTTCCTCTCTCTTCATCAGGGAATGTTTCAGTTCACAGCAAACAGCTACACAGAATGTATAATGGAATAATATTTAGCTATAAGATGCAATAAAATCCTGCCATTGGTTATTATGTGAAGTTAAATGAGGCAGATACAGAATGACAGGTACTGCCTGATGTCATTCACATGTGGGACCTAAAAATGGTCTCTAAGTAGAGAGTAAAATAGTGGTTACCAGAGTCTGAGGGAAATAGAAAGGAGATAGGGATATGAGGAAAGGTTGATCCATGGAAAATAAGCTCTTTTAGAAAAGTTTAAACAGTTCCAAAGTTGGTTGTGTGGCTGTGGAAAACAATGGACACCAAAGTTCAATGGCTCAAAGGAAAAATTTTGAAGACAAATGTGTTTAGCTTGATTTAAACATGCTGAATGTACATGTATTGAAACTACTAGATGGTTTTGTATCTTTTTTTAAGCAAACAATTAAAATATAAGGCAGAAGGGATGTTAGACTATAAGAAGCTGCACTCCTTAAGGTTCCATAGCAGCAATCATAACAACTATAAGTTGGTTATTTTTTTTATTACATCTAAATAAATTATTAAAGGAGCTATTTTGCTACTTCATCTAAATCTATTAATAAACATTTCAATTCATTGTTTAATTTTATTTTCTCATAATATAAAGATGCACACTAATCTTTATATCAACTTTAGATTTTCCTGTTAAGAGAAAAGCAGAATGTAAAACATTTAATAGATTAAAAATACAAATATAATAGAGAATAAAACAAAGCACTATATACAAAAAAATTATGTATTCTTTATGATTCTAATCTAACAGATTAACCATTTTAAGGAAATTCTTTTGTTGATTTCAGGCAGGGTTCTACTTTCTTAAGGATACTTTTTTTTTCAGTAAAAATTCAAGCTATGCAGAGGTCTACTTTATCCAATAAGAAAGACATCTACCCTGTGTGTCTGATTGTCTTGGCTTGTCACTTAAATCCTTCAGATTTGGGGTTTCTTTCTATCTTCTGAGCCACTAAAGTATTATGGCAATTGTCTCAAAAATCAGTGACTTGAAATCCTCTTGTGGATTGTTTGTTAAGGGCTTAGCGCTGGCTCTCCAGGATACTCCTTTCCTGGTGCTATATTTGGCAGTCGTTGTTGCCCAATAAAAACTCATCCCACTTTACACTACATATGGTTTTTAAAATTGTGTTTTGCATTTTAGAGCTGTGACTTTTTGTGTGAAACGTTTCTAGCAGCATCTTTGTCATTGTGGTGAGCTCCGGCGTTGTCACTGAGATTCCGCTGAGAGACCATCAGTCTTCTCTGGATTATCAGGTTTGCAGGACCAACCTAGAGCTCTGGCTGTGGATCCTGGATGTGAAATCAGGTACACGGTTGTTCCGATTCCAGGGATTTCCCTTTTCACCCAGGTGAGTGGAGGGCTCTGTACACTAGGTACTGTCCAATAATTATGGAGATCTATGTGAAATATAACAGCTAGTCACTTCATCATGACCGTGACGTGAGAGACAGAATAAATGATTTCTTCAGTTTCTTTCTAATTATGCCTTTTCCTCATCAGATTGTAAAAGAAAATTGTAAGGTAGTCTTTGTAGAGTATTTTCATAACTATTTGAGTTACTTGTTTTTTACTTTAATTGCTATTTTTGTTAAGTGTAGATTCCAGAAATAGAACTCAAAACCACTGTGCAGAAAATACTTTTTGCCTTGAACATAAAAAGAGTATACCTTTCCCTTGCGCAGACTGATGGAGAGGTGCATTCTAGGTAAAGAAGGACCCTCCCCTAGTCAAGCCCCCTCGATTTCTAAAAGAAAAAAAAAAAATGTCTCTTTGCAAGGAAATCACTCTTTAGTAACTCACTTCTTTTTCTCATGGTCAGGTTGGCTGCCTCTCCAAACACCAGTGAGTGCTGCATGTTCTGACATACCCTGAAGTCATGCATTAGCACCTTCTCACACAGCAAAGGGTGAGAACAGATATCTTTTGGCAGCTGACAGCAGGGTGCATGTAGAACCAGGGGGGAAGGGAGTGGGAGGACAAGGACACTGTGGTAGCCTAGTGGCTAGCAGGACAAATGCACCAGCTGTGAAGAGCCCCCTTTCCCCTCCCACCTACCCAACAGATGTCTCTCTGTCACTGTCATGTCCTCAAGCTATCCCAGTAAATGATTTCTGCATTGCAACTGAGTCACCAATGTGGCAATTGAACCTCTTCACAGCTCAAAATTGTTGATGTGTGCACGGCAGCCCTGTGGTTGTACTGCATGCATGTAGGAACAGGGATGGGCTTGGGAGGGGCTGAGGGGAGGAACTGAGGAAAAGAATGAGAAAGGGAAGCTGGAGGCAGAGAGGATAGTGAAATGTCAAGGTTACCTCGCTCTGCCTGGGGAATTAAAAGAGATTGCACATTAAGGAGAACGCCTCTATCTGGTCCTTTGGCTCTCTTAGGCTGATAGGGCTCCTTACTGCTCTGGTAGATATACATATCACTTTGAAAGATTAAAAAATGAAGAATGCAGTGATCTGTATTGTATATATGCTTTATTCTGTGGAAAGAATGTTAATAAATATACTGGGAGCCTGCAAAGTTTGCCAATATAAATAATGTGGCATTTTAAAGTCTGTCAGTAAATGTAATTGAATTTTTCAATGTAAAAATATAGTTTAGTTATAAATTGGAGTCAAGCTTGACATTAGTTGGGCATTAGAAGATATTAATTAGATACTGTTCACTTCTCTCTCATTTCTTTGCATTAAATGAATTATCAGGAAAGGGAAATTTGCAAGCATGAAATTTAGAATTTTTTTTCACAAAAAAAAACAAGCTGCCTAGTAATATTTAGTAGAGGAATAAATGCTTTTCTTTTCTCAGAAACCTTGTCAGTGAGCTGTCTAAAATATGTCCTTCCCAATATGAACACAATATGGAAAAGCTAATCCGTTTTAATACTTTGTAATGATAATAAGCTACAGTGAACAAGTAGCCTAGGGAAAAGACAGTTGTAGACATCTTTAAACAGGAAGAGAATAGCAAGTAATTGTACATTTTTACACTAGGTTGAAGAGAACATTTCCTGTGACTTTGAACTTACTTTGCTGTCACCATCCTGGCAAACATTTTACATATCAATCAGATAGTCTTATTTCTTTCATGGCATTTACATAAAAATGTAGACATTTACTTATGTGATCTTTATATGTAGTGTTGCTGCTCCTATGTAATGAAGATGCCCCTTCGTTTTACAGATGCTGGATTTAACTTGCAAGTGTTAAGACCATTTAAACTTCATTACCATGTGTACTTTTCCTTGTGTTGATAATATTGCTAGATCAGTTTTTCATCTCTCTTTGCATGTGTTTCTCTTATGCTGAGTGAATAAGAATGTGCATAGGTACGTGTGTGTGTGTGTGTGTGTGTGTGTGTGTGTGTGTGTGTGTGTGTGTATATGTATGTGTATGGGTTCATGTGCATGTATTTGTATGCAATATGTGTGTGCATTTGCATGTGTGCATGAGTGTGTGTGTGTGTTGCATGGGTTCATGTGCATGTGTATATGTAATGTGTATGTGCATTGCAGGTGTATGCATGTGCATTTGTGATTTCATGTGTGTGTATGTGAGTGTACATGCTCATGTGTGTATGTGCATGCATATGTGTGTGCATGTGTATATGTGAATGTGTGTATATGCATGTGCACCTGTGTGTTTCCTACTGTTCATTAGTTGAAGTGGGAATCCAGAAATAGATACTTGTATATATTTTATAAGATCTGTTGATTTTTTTGTTTTGTGTTTGGTAAAATGTTGTAATGTATTCTAAGTAAAAGGAATGTAAGTAGACACTGACTTAAATTACATAATTTTAGATTTTTCTCAGCATTGAGTGGGATACTCCATGTTACCTCAGATTTGGAGAAAATTGTATTTAGATCATGTGTTTGAACTTTTCAATAAAATTTTCTTGGTATCCAGAGGCTATGAATTTTAGCCTACAAAAACTTTTGGTAATATTAATATACATGATCTTTTACTAAAAACAATTTTGTGAGTATAAATACTTTTGATTTTTACACAACATTGAGCATGTGGGGAGAGAAGCTAGGTAGTCTCCTAGCTGGATCTCTACTCCTGAGATGAAGACTGTGACCACATCACTTGGCCTGGAAAGGGTATATGTGACATAGAAGCCAGTCTCATGGAAGGTAAATCTGTGTATGTCAAGTTGGCAGAAAACTAAGCAGGTATGTAGTCAGATGCTTTTTCTGGTCCCGCCAGCGCCCCCCCACCCCCACCCCGCCCCACAGTCCCATGGCCTGCTTATAAAATAATCACTCAGAAGCTTGTATTAATTATAACTGCTTGGCTATTAGCTCAGACTTATTACTGATTAGCTCTTACACTTAAATTAACCCATAATTCTTATCTATGTTTAGCCACGTGGCTTGGTACTTTTTCTCAGTTCTGTCTTGTCATCTTGCTTCCTCTGTGTCTCATTGGCGACTCCTGACTCTGCCCTGCCTCTTCCCAGAATTCTCCTTGTCTGCTTATCCACCTCTACTTCCTGCCTGGCTACTGGTCAATCAGCACTTTATTAAATCAGTGTACAAAAGCGTTATTCCACAGCACAGGTGGCTAGATATGTGTTGGCAAGCTTGAAGACCACTGAGGATGGAGTCCACCTTCATACTCAGTAGTTTGTGAAGGCAAAAACTGTAAAGGCAAGATGCTTGTAAATGGAATGGGATCTGAGTCTTGTCTCTGCCCCTGGGAGGACATATGAGAATCTATCTGGAAGATAATAAGATCACTGTAAGCTAACTGATGACTTTTTGGTAAAGAACAATAGCTTATCATTGTAATTGTATTCAGTTTGCATTTCATACAAATATCAGTGGTCAATGCATGGTTAGGAAAACATTTTGTAGAGAAAGGTTGCTGTGTTAGACTTTAGGAAGAATATAAAACCTACCTAAAATGTAGATTGTCACAATAGTCCTTTTGGCCACTATCCATCCTTACCCTTTGAGAGCACTATACTTTTCTCAGTAAGAAATCACCTGTCATCTATATTATGCTCTTGTGTCATATATGAATTCTTTCAAAAGATCCCAGAGGCTGGGGAGCTATAGGGAACCCTGAGTGAAATCCTGCTAATAAGAGTATGGCAATGTGATGGAGCAGTAACCTAGCTGCTTGCTACAAAAATAAATAAATAAATAAATAAATAAATAAATAAATAAATAAATAAATAACAAATAAATAAATGAATGAATAAACAAATAAATAGCTGTAGGCCTTTAAGTGTCTAAATATATATATGTATATATATATTTATATTAGCTATAATGTAATATTAGCCTTTTATTCTTATTTATGCATCGATTATTAACAGTAATATACAGAGGGAAAAGGATGGAACAATGAATCAAAGCTGAGACTTAGCAAATAAAAAAATAATGAAAGGAGAAATGGATCAAATCAGAAATATTCCACCTTTTTAAAAGAGTATCTCCTTCCTGAAAGAGCACCCAAGGCACCCGCTTGACCAACTCAGCTGCCATCTGGGACCAGATCCAGCACTTGGAGTAAGCCAACCTCATCACCTACTCCCTCTAAGAGCTGCTGGACAGGAAGAGGAGCTGGCGCTGCAGAACCAGCTTCGGGAACATGTCGTCACCACAGAAGATGTAAACCTGAAGCATGGCTGTGATCGAATATGGAGAAAGCGGCTCACACCCACCACTGGACTGAGGAGCTGCTCTGAGGAGCCTGGGAGACCCGGGGAGGCCCTCCTGAACCTGCAGAATCCCTGGAACAACAAAAAAGAGACAGGTCCTATGGAAGGATGCTCTTAAAAAAGTGAACTCATGAAACTGGAAAGAAAGATGGCAGACCAGAGCCATGTGTGGGGGACAAGGGTGAAACTACACATGTGAAGGAGGGTATGGGAGTGATATGGGAGGCCAGCAACAGCAGACAAAGAACATGGCATTGCTGAATAGATCCAGTCCTCGCTACTACCCGGCATGCTGGGAGAGAAAGAGCACAGGGCCAGGGCACTGCCCGCAGACTCTAAGGACAATGATCTTCCCTGGTGTTTCTCAGAGTAGCTGTCATCAAAGACAGGGAGGAGTGTGGCAGTCTGGAGTCTGGAGCTTGCTGGGATCCCCCCCCCTCCCCCATGCTCTGCCTGGCTCTGCGCAATAGCATAATATCTGAAACAAGAGTTTTGGAGATGGTCCAGTATTTATGGCCCCTCAGAGATCAAAGACCTCAAGCAAGACCAAAGACCTGAGGCAAGAAGTATTCATTCGCATATAGAGCTGTTTGGGCAAAAAATATACTGAGTGATGCGCTGCAGTTTCCAAGGCCACTGCCACTAACGAGTTTGCAATGCAGGGGTGGGAAAGATGGAAGAATGGAGCGGAGCGGTGCACATGAGGTGGAGAGCGGTGGAACTATGGCAGCCCTGAGCTACCACTGGAGGCCATGTTGATGTGCATGGCCTGTACTGTCACCCAGAGGCCATGTTGATATCTGTGCTTCGTGCAGCCAATGGGAGGCCATGTCTGGGTCTGTGGTCCTGCTACACCTGGAGGCTATGTTGATGTCCATGGTAGCCTGTGGAGAGCCATGTGGATGTCCTTGGGCTGTGATGCTGCTGAGAGCCATATAGATGTAAGTGGCCTGTGACACTTGGGACCATGCAAACTTCTGTTTTCTCTGCTGCTGCCTGAAAGCCATGTTGATTTGCGTGCACTGGCTAGGCTGCCGCAGGCAACCATTTAGTGTCTGGGGCCTATACTGCCACCGGAGATGATGCTGAGGTACGTGGCATGTGCTGACACCAGAGGCCAGGTGGATGTCCAAGGTCTGTGCTGTTGCCAGATACCATGTGGAAGTTCATGATCTGTGCTCCTGCTGACTGTAAAGGACAAGGAAGCTTCTCCTGCAATGGTATCGCTGA